AAACGAACAAAATTAAAAGCTGTTTAAATTACGCTTTTTGGCGGCCGTCGAGATCCTTCCTCGACATAACCGAGATTATGAAGTTCTCGACTTGCCGCCAATTCTCTTCCGACTGGGTCATCAGCGATACCATGTTCTCCGGTGTAACTTGACTGTTTACACCTTCGAACATGGCCCGCCTCTCCAAGTCCCAATTCTTGCATGAGAAGAGGGTGTGCTCCGCGTTGTCCTCAGGGAACTGGCAATATGCACACACCTTGTCCTCGCGTAATTTAAAGCGACACAGGTACGAGTTAAAACACCCGTGACCTGTGAGCGCCTGAGTCATATAATAGGAAACCTGACCGTGTTTCCTATTTATCCAGGTGGCGAGTGCCGGGATAAGGCGATAAGTCCATCGACCTTTTTCCTCACCATCCCATCTTTCTTGCCATCTTTCTATGAGCCTGTGCCTCGCTTCTTTGCGGATCAGGCCCTTGCTTGGTCTTAATTCCTCATTCAAGGAACTGCTTTCTTTAGAAAAGAGAAACATTTCTTCCCTTTCCCTCGCCAAAAGATCTGCTGGCGGGACACTTGCAAGGACCTGCACAGCACTCGTAGATACCGTCTTATATGCAGAGATGATACGCGTTGTTATCGATCTCTGCGCAGACAGTATCTTTTCACAGATGGTCACACATCTTTTACTCCTCAGGGATGGGGCCCACGCTGGTGCTGCATAGAGCATTTTAGCGTGGGCGACACTCGCCACCAGTCTTCTTTTTTGTTCACGGGGTCCGCCAACATTTGGCATTAGCCGTGAAAGATTAGCCGCACACTCGATCGCCTTATTTGACGCCGTAGCCATGTGGTGGTGGAAGTGTAACCTTCCATCTAACTCCACACCAAGATATTTAATTTGCTTACTCCACTTGACCTCGAATCCGTCTATCACGATTCGTGGGAGCTCATAACCACGTCTGTCTGTGACCAGCAGTGCCTCGGTCTTTTCCAGGGCCATTTCAAGACCTCTGGTATCCAGCCAGCTTTTAGCTAGTCGCAGACATTCGTTCACCAATGTCCCAAGAGCCTCCTCACTTTCGGCAGTGCACACGAATAACGCGTCGTCCGCAAAGCCGATGATCACCGCACCTTCGGGCAGATCCATTCGCAGAAAATCATCGTAAGATACATTCCATACAAATGGACCCACCCTCGAGCCTTGAGGAGCTCCACGCTGCATCTCTTCCTTGAGAGTGCAGGTGTCTCCCTCATATATAACCCACCTGTCGCTAAGATAATTATCCATTATCCGCAACAAGTAGGGCGGCATGTTTTTCTTTTCCATCGACTCGATGAGATCTTTCCATCTTGCGGAATTAAACGCGTTGCGTATGTCAATTGCTACCAACGCGCAGAAGCTCTTCTTTTTCCCAGGTCCCAATTTGTTTTTTCCTGCTTTGGCTATGTCCACAACTGCCTGGATGGCATCAACCGTGGACTTGCCTTTACGGAAACCAAATTGGTGATCGGATAGACGATTCTCTTCGGTCAAGTGGCTTTGCATTCTCTGCAGAACCATATCCTCTAGAAGTTTACCCATCGTATCTAGCAGGCATATAGGCCTGTACGATGAAACCTTATCTAGAGGTTTTTCACCTTTCCTTAGGAGGACTAACCTCTGTCGCTTCCAGTCGCGGAAGAACTCTCCTCTCTCAAGGCAAAGATTGAAGCATCGAAGCAGAATCTGGGGTGAAGTGTCGATTACCAACTTTAGGATCTCGTTACTTATCCCATCGATTCCAGGCGCCTTGCCTGTTTTCAATCTTTTGCCTGCTTTTTGCAGTTCACTAATTATTATTATTATTATTATTATTATTATTATTATTATTATTATTATTATTATTATTATTATTATTATTATTATTATTATTATTATTATTATTATTATTATTATTATTATTATTATTATTATTATTATTATTATTATTATTATTATTATTATTATTATTATTATTATTATTATTATTATTATTATTATTATTATTATTATTATTATTATATTATTATTATTATTATTATTATTATTATTATTATTATTATTATTATTATTATTATTATTATATTATTATTATTATTATTATTATTATTATTATATTATTATTATTATTATTATTATTATTATTATTATTATTATTATTATTATTATTATTATTATTATTATTATTATTATTATTATTATTATTATTATTATTATTATTATTATTATTATTATTATTATTATTATTATTATTATTATTATTATTATTATTATTATTATTATTATTATTATTATTATTATTATTATTATTATTATTATTATTATTATTATTATTATTATTATATTATTATTATATTATTATTATTATTATTATTATTATTATTATTATTATTATTATTATTATTATTATTATTATTATTATTATTATTATTATTATTATTATTATTATTATTATTATTATTATTATTATTATTATTATTATTATTATTATTATTATATTATTATTATTATTATTATTATTATTATTATTATTATTATTATTATTATTATTATATTATTATTATTATTATTATTATTATTATTATTATTATTATTATTATTATATTATTATTATTATTATTATTATTATTATTATTATTATTATTATTATTATTATTATTATTATTATTATTATGAGCTCCCACGAATCGTGATAGACGGATTCGAGATCAAGTGGAGTAAGCAAATTAAATATCTTGGTGTGGAGTTAGATGGAAGGTTAAACTTCCACCACCACATGGCTACGGCGTCAAATAAGGCGATCGAGTGTGCGGCTAATCTTTCACGGCTAATGCCAAATGTTAGCGGACGCCGTGAACAAAAAAGAAGACTGGTGGCGAGTGTCGCCCACGCTAGAATGCTCTATGCAGCACCAGCGTGGGCCCCATCCCTGAGGAGTAAAACATGTGTGACCATCTGTGAAAAGATACTGTCTGCGCAGAGATCGATAACAACGCGTATCATCTCTGCATATAAGACGGTATCTACGAGTGCTGTGCAGGTCCTTGCAAGTGTCCCGCCAGCAGATCTTTTGGCGAGGGAAAGGGAAGAAATGTTTCTCTTTTCTAAAGAAAGAAGTTCCTTGGATGAGGAATTAAGACCAAGCAAGGGCCTGATCCGCAAAGAAGCGAGGCACAGGCTCATAGAAAGATGGCAAGAAAGATGGGATGGTGAGGAAAAAGGTCGATGGACTTATCGCCTTATCCCGGCACTCGCCACCTGGATAAATAGGAAACACGGTCAGGTTTCCTATTATATGACTCAGGCGCTCACAGGTCACGGGTGTTTTAACTCGTACCTGTGTCGCTTTAAATTACGCGAGGACAAGGTGTGTGCATATTGCCAGTTCCCTGAGGACAACGCGGAGCACACCCTCTTCTCATGCAAGAAATAAGACTTGGAAAGGCAGGCCATGTTCGAAGGTGTAAACAGTCAAGTTACACCGGAGAACATGGTATCGCTGATGACCCAGTCAGAGGAGAATTGGCGGCAAGTCGAGAACTTCATAATCTCGGTTATGTCGAGGAAGGATCTCGACGGCCGCCAAAAAGCGTAATTTAAACAGCTTTTAATTTATTCGTTTGTTTTTTTATTAATTTATTTTGTGATTTATTTGTCCTTATACAATTCTAATTTATTCCGTTTTATGTTTTTAATATTATATACGCGTTTATTATTTTTTTTTTTTCTTTTATATCCGTTTGCAATTTTATCTTTTGACTGTTTACACTTGATTAAACATTTTTTTTTATTATTGTTGTGCTGTTAATTCCGCTTTTATATTGAAATAGTTTTAAATTTTTAACTATTAACGCAGGATAACCGCAGAGAAAAGCAGAAAGTCGCATTAGCGACAGAGTCGGAGCGCCACCCTCGAAGGCTAAAGTCTTACGACAGTTCCGAGGGAGGGTAAAGGGCTATAAAAGAAGGGTTACGGGTTTTAGTGGGTCGGGCTGGTAGTAGGTCGCCAGTTTGTTAAATTTATTATAACATTTATTTATTTTTCTTTTTTTTTATATTTCTTTTTGTTTTTTTTATCATACCAACCCCACATAACCTTGGAGTGCGGAATCCAAGGTATCTGTAGGCAGATTTCCCAAAAGTCCCTAAGCAAAAAAAAAAAAAAATTATTATTATTATTATTATTATTATTATTATTATTATTATTATTATTACTATTATTATAATCAACTAATTTTAAACATGAATCAATAAATATTTTTGCACTTTTAAGCATTTTTTCTATACTTTTTAAAATTTTTTCTAATTGCTAAAAAAGTGCCATTTTTTCGCACCATCTCCACTTTACACTCATAATTTAAGAAAAGTAATAAATATTTTAACTGTGGCACAAGTGGAAAAAAGCTGTGCAAAGTTAGCACCGGCCTTTGCAAAATTAGGTACAGACGTCTATGCGAAAAGCGAACCAAAATGTCTTTAGCGTTATTCGTAACACATTTCTCTCCGTGTAGGTCCATAAATTATATCATGGTTTATCAATATATCACACCACGAAATTATAAATTCGTCCAGTATACAATCTCTGAGAAAGGCAGGGTGGTCAACTTAGGACCACTCTCCCCTATATAATATTAATATTTTTATTCAAAATATTCTTTAGAATTAAGTTTTTAGGGAAAATGTCAAGGGGTGAACAACTCGTGAATTATGGTGTACATTTGTATTGAATTACTAATGTGAATTACCGTAAATAACTGAATTATTATTGTATTAGGTGTACACCAAATTCTAGAGTTGTTTGCCTCTCGGAAAATGTCAAAATTCTGTCTGGAAATCAGTGAAAATAAGGGAAAAGCAAAATGAAATTATTGTGACAACCCTGATTTTATTTATTGTTTATTTAATTAAATTTAGTTTGGAAGAAATGTATTTTAATAATAAGTAATGATTAATTTTTAACTTTAATAAAATTTCTTTTTAGCGACTGAGAGGAATTGCTCGAAGTGAAGCTGACGAGAAGAGATTCGCCGAAGAAGATATAGCAATACAAAAGGCAAAGGAAGCTGCACGAGCGGCTGCAGCGATAAGCGCTGCGAGAATGAATCATACAAATGGCAATCACGATTCGACACGATCAAAATTATCTCATATCTCATGCACACCAACTTTACCAGAGTCTGCAGTTATCACTCCATCAGGTAAAGGACCACGAATGGAGGGTCAAAGGAATCTGCAAGACTCCACCTTCTCCATTAGCGGTACGTTGACAAGATTTTTTCTAAAAATATTTTTTTATTATAATAGTAATTGAGGTATTCTGTCTTTACCTGAAGTTAGGTTTGGTGCTCATTTCATGAACACTTTGCTTCCTCATAGATAATAATAATAGAAATATATGAATAACTTTTTATAAATATGGTAAAAGTGATTGAATCTTGGGTCAATCAATGTATTTAAATACCCTACAAGATAGTTATAATAGTTTAATAGTTAAACAAAAATTTTCAAACAAAAATGTTGAGAAAATGTCATTTTCCACAATTTTTGGTTTTTAAAATACCAATAATTTAGAAATTTATTATCGAATAAGGTTCAAAAATAAGTCAATCGAAGCGTTTTTTAATGCTCTACAAGTTGGTAACGATAATTTTAAAGTTACTTCTAAATTTTTCAACAAAATTTTCAAAAAAGTCTTATTTTCCAAAATTTATTATTTTTAAAAGTTTAATATCTCCAATTAATATGGTCAAAAAAATGTTCAATAAGCGCTCAAAAGATGCGTCTAAAAAACTCTACAAAATTAGAGAAAAACATTTATAGGTGTCCTAACATTTTTTTTAAGTTATGGACAAAAAACGATTTTTTGAAAAATTAAAAATCCAAAAAAATATAGTTAAACTTTAGGAATCGGGCTGAAAATACTCTTATATTATGTCCGCAAGTGAGACCTACAATTTAAAAAAAATTCGGCCCTAAAGCTCTTCATGATCTCGAGATATTTATGAAAATGTAATATTTACACACACACATACTGAACGACATTTTTTAAAAATGTCATTTTTGAACTCCTGAGGTCAAATAACATAAAGATATGTCAAAAAATCGAACTCGAAAAATTTTGGTATTACAATATACTTTCTCTATGAGGAAGTAATTATTGAAAATATTAAGTAGTCTATGAATTTTCTTTTTCAAATTTAAAAAAATCCATAAGTAGAGTTACAGTTGCAATTTTTAGAAATAAACAATTAATTTTTTTTGTATTTGAATAATTAATTTCAAGTACAACTTTTTAATAAGAATTGATTTCAAGAAGAATTTCAGTTAAAATTTTAGAAAATATTTCAAGTATTGGAAGAATTGCAGTTCTAATTTTTAGAAATAGTTAAATTGAGGCCTTGGATCGAATAACTCGCCCGACGCTCGGAGGCACGCGCTAATACCAGTCGGATAGCAGTGAGTGGCCCAGAGGCGCTCACTGCTCACTGACTGGCAATTGCGCGTTCCTCCGAGCGTCGGGCGAGTGTTATTCGATCCAAGACCTCAATTTCAAAAGGTTAAAACCTTTTGAACTTTTTACTTTATTTAAAGTATTATGAAATTTTAATTCCTTTTTGACACATAGATAACAATAAATATCAAATATTGAAAAATTATTTTTTAAAAAATAATAAATTTTCATTAATAGTTTCAAAAAAATAGTTTTTATTACTAACAATAGGCACGAAAATTTCACGCACGCTTTTAGTACATTAAAGATAAGAATATGAGAATTTTAATTTTATTATTTGATCCTCCGGCATGAAGGAGTATAAGGAGAAGTATGTATATGTATCCCTATTGACTGTACTTGACTGCGTAAAATCGCCATGCACGAAAATTGGCATACCGGAAATTTGTTCACTGATATTAGCGCCCCTACAGGAGAAAATATATACCCTCCATGCTGTCCATGATAAAAGTTTTGTTTACGTAGTTTTTTTAACAATAAAATAATAGTAATATGAATTGTTTTATAAAAAATTGCATGTCTAGTTATAAAGCAAATAAAAATGCTTCTGAAAAAAGTGTTTTTTCAAAGCACCGAGAATGATAAGTTTATTTAATATACTATTCTGTAAGGGTAAAAGTTTTTATACTTTTACCAACAGACATTTATGAATTTAATGCAAAGAATTTTTGGTTGTTTATTTGAAGTCCTTTCTATTTATATAACGTATAAAACAATTTAATTCTGTTCATCTATTTTACAATACAACACTCAGAGGATCCTCTAACTTTAAATATCAATCAGCTGTCAAAGATAAAAATACTTAAAATGTAAAATTGCACTTATTTCTCCCGTTTGGCGGCGCTGTTATCAGTGAACATGAGGCTATTACTTTTCGCGTACCTGTCGATTTTACTGCAGAGAAGTACAGTCAATATCAGGAAATTTTCCCATTGGAGATATGTCTCCTTATACTCCTTCATGGCCTCCGGACAGTATAACCGGTATAACCACACATAAAATTCTGACCGCCATGCTAATTCAATGGGCGTCAGAATTTTATGTGTGGTTATACTTTCCGGAGGCTCATTTATTATACCTACATACTTCATGACTTTCGACTTTAAGTGTGAAAATTTTTAAATAAATATTAAACATAAATTTTTAGTCTACTAAATATATAAAGTACAAACTTGAGGGTTCACGTGCAATAAGGGGACGCGCAGGCTATTCGTTGTCCTCTCGCGCAGCCGCAGAATCGCTATACGCAGGGACTTTCACTTCCATGCGTATCCCCTCAGGGTGAAGTCCCATGGTAGCGTTTTGCGTTGCGTTTTGTAACTAGGCCATGAGTGCAAATAGAGCAAACATATATCTGTATCTCTCTCACACTCATGGCCTAGTTACAAAACGCAACGCAAAACGGTGCCATGGGACTCCACCCTAAGGCTGGAGTCTCATGATAGCGTTTTGCGTTACGTTTTGTAACCAGGCCATGAGTGTGAGAGAGATACAGATATATGTTTGCTCTATTTGCACTCATGGCCTAGTTACAAAACGCAACGCAAAACACTACCATGGGACTCCAGCCTTATTGCACGTGAACCCTCACTTAAACTTGGAACTATATAATTAAATATAAAACAAGTTGTTCATTTTATGACCATTAAGCTTCCTCAATATATAAAAATTGCGGTTTTGCAAACTTTTGAAAAATTATGTACAAAAGGGTTCGTCCAGAAGATTGGTTAAAAATAAAATTATATAAATCATTTATAAGTTGTTGTATAAATATTTGGTGGAATTTACACTTTCATTTGCCAATTGCTTCTATTTTATGATAGAATAATCATTTCAAAATATTAATATTAATATTAAATTAATTATGAAAAAAATACCAAATTTGAATTTTTTGTGAAAAAGAAAAATATTTATTAATTTTATAAATTTTGATAAAATATATACTTTGTATACATCAATCGATTCGTTTTCTTGCCAGGAATGTAATTTTGAGAATAATTAATAAAAATATTAACAAATAAAAAAATTATTTCAGAAAATACAAAAAAAAAATTTTCTGAATTTTAAAAAAATTGTATAAAAAAAAATTTTGTACATATTTTTGAAAATCCTTGTGTCAGATTTCAGGTATTAATGACTGCAATAAACCTGCAAAATTTCAGGACAATCCATCAAAATTTGTCTGAGATAATTTGTACACAATTTTTGTGACATACACACACACACACATACACACATACACACACACATACACACATACATACACACACACATACATCTGGACATTTGCTCATAATTGAATATACATATGTTCTAGATGAAAATGAGTCCATATAACCTTGTTTTGAAAAATTGAAAATCGTCACCAATGCAAAGCTTCCTCATGAGGAAGCAAAACTATTTAATTAATTTGAATTAAGTCTAAAATAGAATTTTTTTGCATTTTTACTGAAAATAATTTTCAAAGAAAGAAAGTTTTATTTAGCAGAATTCTTTTATTTAATAGAATTTAAATTCAGGAGATTTTCAATAATTGAGGGCTCGGATCGAAGAACCGACGCTTGTAAACGCACAGAACATTGCGAAGCGTCGGTTTTTCGATCCGAGCCCTCGCAATTATATTAAAGAAGAATTTTTAAGGGCATTTGAACCATTATGAAGTCACAATTTGTGCAAAGCATGTATTCTAAAACTGTGACTTAATAATGGTTTAAATGCCCTTAAATACCCTGCCGGAAGAATGAACTGAAAAAGTACTGAAATTGTACTGGGCTCCAGTACAATTTCAGTCCGTTTTTTTTAATGTTTCGGTAGACATTTTTAAAGTCCTTTAACAATAGTTTCAAGTGTAGGTTATGATAAAAAACCATTGTTAACAGTTTGGAAGTGAAAATAAAAAAAGGTTAACAAAATTTTCAACGAAATTCCGGGCAGTGTCCGAGATAGTCCCGTGAGGGGAAGCAGCTTATCCCCACCATGCGGCACACCAAGTCGAAACTGAGTCCCGAGCAACCCTCGCAGCGGGGGCGCTTGGTCCCTCAAACCCTCATTAAGGAAAACTGTTAATGACTTTTCTATAAAAATATAAGGGTGATTCTCCAAAAAACCTCATTTTGCGTGTAATCAAGATTTTCTAAATAATTATAATCATTTGGGAAAATACCAAGTCATATTTCCCTATTTTATCACTTTTTCTAAATGTTCTGCAAGAAAAAGTTGTAAAATTTTATTGTTTAATACATTTTTAAAATATTTTACCACCTCAAAATCGATTTTCTAACCTGTCATCTAAGTGCTTTTCATTTTTTCAATAGATAAAACAATTATTTAAAACATGAAAATTGGTACTTTATTAATTTTTTCTAAAAGTTATGATATTTAAGAATAATTTTCAAAAATATAAATAAAATATGTCGTGTAGTTTTTTTAAATATAGAAAATGAAATTTGTCAAGTAGTACCGCGTCATTCCTCTCACTCGTTGAATATTATCCAATATTTTTGCTGTGGGTAGAGATATTGCTTAATTATTGTGATCAATATTTAAATTAACATCTCTAATATTAATTTCTTAAGTTACTTTTTAAAAAATGTCATTATTTTGCGTTAAAAAAATTAAAATTGAGACATAAGCAGAGATTCACAACCTAAAGCGTCATTCCTCTCACCGCTAATAAAAACAATATTAATATATATAAATTGATCGCAAATTTTTTTCACATAAAGTTATCCTTTATAAACATGATAGGGCATTCTAAGCTGGAGGAAAATTATTTGTCAATTAAATAAAATTAAAAAATGTTGAAATCGTCATTCCTCTCACCCGTCATTCCTCTCACTTTTTTGAATAAAAATTAAAAATTGATATGATTGTCGGTTGTTTACAAACTGCCAGTGAAAAGTGAACCTAAAATGTATGAAAAATAATTTTTGACAATTGTTTAAAGAGATTTTTGATAACTGTAAGTATTTCAAAATCTATAAAATTTATAGATAATATTAATAAATTATAATTTTTAAATAATTTTTTGTAAATAGAAAAATATATATAATAAAAAACGCCGGCGCCAAATTTTAACCTCTTAATTTTTTTGTAAATTTTAATTTAAAATATATACTTTAAAAGCTAAAAGTTAGCATGATCATGCTATAGAGGTGGTAGATTTTTGAAAGCTCAATATAATTGACTGCATTAATCCATAAATAATAATTTTTTTTCTTTTCTGTTTGTAACTCACAAAAAGGAGTATTTCGGGAGAATCACCCATAAATTTGTTAAATAGTAACATTTTTAATTTTTCATTGACATATTTAAATTCCTTACTTTCTCACGATTTCATACATACGTTGTTTATCAAAAAAAAGTTAAACTTGGACATCGCCCGAAATTCCCGTTAAATTTTAAACTTATATTGCAACCTCTGCTTTAACAATAGACCCGAAAGCCTATTGTTGTATGGGATTATAATTTTATGGCTTAAAAAGTTTACAATTTATATAATTCAATTTTCAAAACAAAAAAGTTTGAACCTGTGATGTTTTATGATTACAAATATCTAAAATTCATTATAAAAAATGTTTAATTAAAAAAGTTATAAACTATCTCGCAAACTCTAATTGTTATGTAAAAGCGGATGTTATTTTTTAATTTAGATTAACACGAATATTTAGCATACATAATAGTTACTTGTAAAGAATCTGAGTTCATGAAAAACAAATATAATGTTGAAATATAAATAAAAATTATTTTTAACATTAACAAAGAAATATTCGTCCTTCAACTTAATGACGGTCAGGCCATAAACATCACCGATAGCGACCCTTTTGCAGGTAATTTTTCCCAGTACAATTTCAGTGCTGAAACGCAGCAAATTTTCACTCAAATAGCACTGAGCTCTCAGTACTAATTCCCCAGTACAATTTCAGTCCATTCTTCCAGCAGGGTAGAAATAAACGGTTTAAATGAATTATTAATCCTACCAAAAAAAGCATGAAGGCATGGGCAAGGTCCAATATCGAAAATATCGAAGAGAATTCGCAGCGCGATTTGGAAAAAAGCATTTTTAATATTATTAATAACAATGAACATAAATTCTAATTCAGCATCAGATAATTAAAACTAGACAAACGGTATATATTTATTAATTTATGTTTATTAAAAAAGCAATTAGAATATAAATAAATAGAAATCAATATTATTGAAAATAATAAATAATTATTAATAATAGTAACAAAGAATATAATTATAATATAGCAGGAGTTTAAATCTATGTAATTTAAATGTAAAGAAATTAAAGTTATTATATAAAATTAGAATTAATTCAAAATTAGGTAAGCAAACTAAATTTAGAAATGGCGTAGAACAGTTAAAGATAATTCATCCCTATTTAATGATTAGCGTTCGCCAGTTTCTTATGCCTTACGCTTATATGTTTGTGTAAGTTTAATTGTATATCAAATACACAAAGAAAAACGAAAAATTGCAATTTTTTTTTCTTCTTAAATGACTTGAAGCTAGGCCAACTGTCAGAACACACACTCTTATATACCAACTAGTTTTGCGTTTCTACAGAACGACTTTTTGAGATTAGGAGTACTCGCATTTGCCTGGACCACCCGTCAATAGGTTTTCTCGCCAGAGAAGAGGGAAACTGTAGAAAACCTCTCCTGAGTACAACCGGTTTATCGACAGCCGAGTTTTAACGGTGTGTACCGGACAATAATCGACGGTGCACATCATTATACTTCGACGTCAAACCTCCCGCTCAGATTATCTCACGTGCCGGAAAAATCCCAGGCTAATGGGCGCGAACCAAGTACCCTTGGTCCGCCCACCGAGCCAGGCATTTATCCGACCGAGCTAATCTGTCGGTAAAAATTGCAATTAATTAAAAATTAGGCAGGGAACTGAATTGAGAAATGGCAGAGAACGGCAAAGGAGACGGCCGCTTGCGGCCGTCGACTGCGCTAGTTACACTACCGTCCGTGAGTATCAGGACGCCCCTTTTTTCCTTAGTGGAAAAATGCTTAAAACGTAGAAAATAAGAATGACAAAAATTTTTCGTATTTTTTTCCTGGAAACTAATGAAATTATGAAATTACTGACACCTGATCGAAGAATTTTCGTTGACTATTCTGTCAGATACAGAAAAAATACTGGATTTTGCATGCTTTTCGTAATTTTTTAATTTCTCGAAAACTAATTAACTTTTTTAGCGTTCTTGGTCTTGTTTTAATCTCTATTCAATGTAGAATCTAAATTAATTACTGGTATTGTGATATAAATTTTTCCAAAAAAATTTGAAACCGTAAAAGTAGGATTAAAAAAATTCAAAAAATTATCATGAATATTAAAGTGTCAAAAAGGTCAATGTAAAATCTGTGGAAGAAAGGCATAACAGCATAACTGACATTTTTATCAAATTTGAGATAACATCAGATTTGTATATATTTAATATTGCTCTTCAAAGTTCAATAGCTGAAAAATCATTAAAATGGTTATTAATGTAGAAAATAATGGAAAACATAATCGCATAATTGCGTTTTTGACAAAAGGAGACCAGCATAATAACATAACTGCATTCAGCTTAAAAAACAATTGACATAATTAAAAATGAAAATAACCTTTATGAATAAAAACAATAAGAATTTTGTAATAAAATGTTTTCAGTAAAATACATTTTTCGTACTTTAAATTAAATATATTTATTTTAATAAAACTGGAAAAAATTTTTTATAGCCTAAATTGTGCATTTAATTATGTACTTATTTTTAAGGGTATTTCTATTCTAAAAAATTTTGGAAAGTATTTCAAAAAATAAATTGAAAAATTCTTCAAGTTGAACAGTAAAGTAAATTTTTTTCTCGTTTCAATAAATTAAAAACATTTTATAAAAAAATAAATTTTATAACTAAATAAACTCTTATAATTTTTTCTAACGAATTAATAGTTTAATTTGTCTTTGTATGAAAAATTTTTTTATTATGACAAATCAAACCAAAATAAATTGTGACATTAAAAGTGTCTGAGGTTGGACTCATATACAATCTGAACTTGCATAACCGCATAAGTGCAATAAAACTCATGATTCCGATGAAAAATTATCAAAATTTATATCAAATCGTGTGTTTTATTAAATGTTATAAAAGAATTTTGAAAATATTTTAAATAATAATACTAAATGCAAAAGACCGAACAAATCTGTTGATTTTCTGAATTGACAGAAGTGAGAGAACATTAAAATTAATTTATCTCGAAATCATGACAAATGCAGTTATGCTGTTATGCCTTCACTGCAAAAACTAGCGTCTTAGAAACGTCTTATTTTAAGACATTAGACGTTTTGAAAACGTCTAGTCTGGAATAAATGACTAATTCATCTGTCTTTCATGCAAAGTGTCTAAAAATTTGAGACATTTCTTGCGTCTTACAAATGTAAACAAGTCACTTTCAGTGCTTATAATTTAAGACATATAATGTAGACGGTAAAAGTGTCTATATTTAAGTCATTTTTGCTAATTTAAGACGTTTTCGAAGTAAGACACTTTGAATAAAAGACATTTTGTGTATTCGAGTATCTTCGGTAATATTCGTCTTGCCTCGTCTTCGATGAAAGTTTCCCGCGCAATATCAATGCATACATGCATTTTTAGGTTATGTATCGATTCAAGCAGTAAATTTCATCTGAATGAAGACACTTTAAACGTCTCCAAAATAGTCACATTTAACGTCTTCCTAAAAGACATCCCAAAACGTCTTACAAATGAGGACAAAAGTGTCTCAACTATAGACACCTGTTTTTGCAGTGTTTCTTCCACAGAAATATGTTCATTTAATAGATATACTAAAATTCAAAAAAGCTTTTTAATTACTTAATTATTTAATTAAAAAAAATTTTGTTGTTGAAAAAGTGTCAATCTGTTTTTCAAAATTTTTTATCCGACTTTCACAGTTTCAAATTTTTTTGGAAAAATTTATATCACAATACCATTAATTAATTTAGATTCTACATTGAATAGAGATTGAAACAAGACCAAGAACGCTAAAAAAAGTTAATTAGTTTTCGAGAAATTAAAAAATTACAAAAAGCATGCAAAATCCAGTATTTTTTCTGTATCTGACAGAATAGTCAACGAAAATTCTTCGATCAGGTGTCAGTCTTTTCATAATTTCATTAGCTTTCAGGAAAAAAATACGAAAAATTTTTGTCATTCTTATTTTCTACGATTTAAGCATTTTTCCACTCATGAAAAAAGGGGCGTCCTGATACTCATGGACGGTAGTGTATTATAAATAAATAATTATTTTAAACAAGTATTTTGGAAAATTGGTATACATACAAAAGAAGAGTTTCAATTAGAAAATTAGAAAAAAAATTAATTGTATTTTTCTTTTATTAAAATAAAAAATAAGACTTGTTTTTTAAGTTAATTAAAATTATAAATTTTATTCTAAAAATTATGAAATAAATTTTTTACTTTTACAGAAGATACAGGCGAAGATCGAAGAGCTTGTATCCGAGTTAATAATCCACCAGGAGGTCGCAGTGCCGGTGGTTTTTGGTAAATTCGTGCAAATTTGTAAAAAAAATATGGTATTTAATGAACAATTATATACATCTATGTCTCCTCCCATTTACCTCACCCTTCCTCAACCCTTTTTTTCATCTCAAAATTTTAATCCTTTTCGAAACCTTCATTCACAACTTCTTAACTTTTTCTAAAGCTATCGTATAAAAAAAATCTTTTCTCCAACACACAGAAACAAACTCTCTTTTCTTTCTAAAACAATTATTTTCCTTCGAAAAGAAAATTATTCTGTTTCACAATAACTTCAGTCTTTAAATCATTCACGTCGATCTTGAATCATTTCAAAACACAAAATTATATTTCACCAATTGATCATTAATCAATGTGTTTGATTATGGAAATGATAAATCATTTTTTCAATAAAACTTATCAATTTTTGGAATAAATAATAATTTGTTTTGTTTAAGCAACAATAACTGTTTATTTTATTATTGTAATATTATTATTATTATAATATTAAACAATTTATTTGTTAATTTGAAAGTTTCAAGGTCTAAGTTAAATATGGGCATCTTAAGTTATTTGTATTTAATAGAATATTATTATTTAACAAAAAAAAACAAAGGTTAAAAAGAAAAAAATTGGAGAGGAATTTAAGAGTGAGAAAATTTCTCAAAAATTTGCGTGTTAAGTTTTTTAATTTTTTTTGTTGTAATCTTATATTGACAGCACAAAGTTGTAGTAGATATTAGCAAATAGCAGATTAGAATTAATGTGAATATTTATAATCGTTAATTGTTATGTTTACGTCGACTTGATTAAAATATTATTACTCTAATTACAATATGCTATAATAATTAAAATATATTGTGTTATTTTCAGCGCATGATATAAATAGTTATACAATTCTAATTACACGATTAAATACTGGTGAAAAAATTTATATTAAATAAAATTATTTTTATTGAAAAAATTTATTTTTATTACAAAATTTTATTTATTAAAAAATTTTATTTTTATTACAAAATTTATTTTTATTTAAAAAAATTATATTTTCAATTAAAAATAATTAATTTCAAGCATTAAAAATTAATTTATTAACTACAATCTGTCTAAATTGAACAAATTTTTTAAAAATCCAACTTTTTCTATTTAGTAGTAATTTAAAAAATATAAATTTTTTCTACAGTTTTATTCTTGCAATCGATAATTGTGAAGTATTATTAAAAAAAACTGTTTATTGAACATTAGAAATAATCGGCTCTAAATGTATTTAAATTAGAAATTTTTTAAATCATTGGTTAAATAGAAAAGATTATTTCTTCTAAAATATACGAATTGTTGAGAACAATACATTTTATTGTAGATTGTATTTGCGTAAAAATTATTAGACTGTATGATTGTACATTTTATATTGAATGTTTAATTATTGTTGACAAAGCTAAGTGATTAGAATTCGCAATTTAAATAATTTTGAAAAAATTTGCGATAGTGCATTTATCTTTTCAAAGATTAACATTAAAAAAAAGAATCAAAATCTGCGCCTTATTATTGCAGTATAGTTTTGTATTATGTGACAATTTTCAACGAACAATTTATAAAACGATGTTAAGTTTTAATATAACGGAATGAAATCTATGAATTTTTTTTACCTATTTTACATATTTATTCCATGCGCTGAAATCGTTGCGAATGTTATTGATTTTTGTGATTAAGGAAAATAATTAGAGGCACATTCGATCATTTCTTTATAGAAGAAGTTGAAATTTTTTTCGTAATTATTTTCTTAATTACCGAGAATAAATGATGAGGAAAAAAATTGTTTTTATATTTTTTTAAATATTTTTTTGTTGAATATTTTTTTTTACTAATTTTTCCTTGCGGTTTGATTTAAATTAAAAAAAGAAAAAGAAACATTTTTTTAGATGGAAAGAGAATTAAACTCTTTGATGTGCTCTCTAATTATTTAAACTTATAAAAAATTCGTAATTTTGAGGAAGGAATGTAAATGGAAAGAAAATAAAGAGCTTGTTGCAAATATCGAAACTGAAAGTCGCTTTACGCATTTTGGCTTTAATCGCCAAAAAAAAAAAAAAAATAAAAATTGTGACCATATCTTTCTCAAAACGATTGAAATAATTAAAACTTGAAGCCAAAAAGAAAAGAATTTGATACGTATTGCGATTTTATAAGAATTTCTTAGCCAAAGAGAATCACTTCCTCTCAATTTGCAGACCAATTATTGTAATTTTTAAAGTGTCTTAAAGTAGGTTGACTAAAATTATCGAAAAATTCAATGTGTTCATGTTTTAAAATTTAAAGATAAGATGATTTATAAAATCGAAAAAACTAGTTCATTGAAAAATAATTGAATTTTTTCATAAATGAAAATATTTCTTACAAATTTCAACGATTCGACGTTTCATATACACATAATAAATAAATAATTGAACTAAGAAACAGTATTAATAAATCAATCTTAAAAGCGTCAAAACGAAAAAATATTCTTTAAACAAAAAAAAGTAATTTTTGTTTGTTTTTAGGATTGATTTTAAAATATTGAAATCAATTTTATATTAACTCTTCTAAAAAAATTTTGTATGAAAATTTACTTCAACTTTAAGACCTAAAGACAAAACCATAGACTGCTTTAAAATGTAGAAGATACGTTTTTTAGTTAATAACGCACATCATTTATACTAAACAGAATTAAAAATGAGAATCGAATTGAAATAAAGATTATTATTAGGAATTTGCTACTTTAATAGTTTATTACGTTTATATAATGATCCTCAAATATATGTAATTCAAAGTTAGCTTTTGAAAATATTAAACGCTGATTTATGGCAAAAGTAATTTTAAATTGACTATTAAAAATCATTAAAAATATTTATTGAAAATAAATAAATAATTTTAAGAAATAATAGTTCTGGCGTCTAATATCTTTTAAAGCTGCCGTCAAATATCTAATAACAACAATAAAAAAAATTAATAACTATTTCATCATAAGGCTGCTACTTTTAGAAAAATGCATAAAAATGCAGGGATAAATTTTTTAAAAATAATCTTTGGATCATTTTTAACCGAAAAATTAATACAATTAAACTTTGAAAAATGTAGAAGTTATTGTCCACAAAAGAAAATATAGCTTTTTACAAGAAAAAATATATCTATTAGAATGTAAGAATCTTTTTATTTATTAAAAAAAATGATGTAGAATTTAGAAAATATTTATAGACGTCTAGAAAAGATTCTTTTCTTATTTAAAAAAAGGCGAAATAATGACAAGTTTACTGCATATTTTATAAGAATAAAAAAAACTATTATAAGAAATAGAATAAGCAATCGTAAATCGTATTTGAATGTTTCAATTTTCAAATACATTGAAAAACATTTCAAAAAAAAATTTTGTGGACACTAACCATTAATTTTTATTTTTCCAAGAGAAAATTCCCTGTCTTTTTTTATCTTGATACTTAAAAAAAGCGAATTTTTTATTTTTAATATAAATGAAATATTTCATGCACAATGACTTAATTCATTTCATTCGTGCTTTCAATTATAATAGAAATAGAAAATTCACAATAATTCACAATTAATGAAATCGTTAATTAAACTCTCGAAAATAATTAAAATAATTGTGGTCTTATGAAACTAAAAAGAGAAACTTTGATAAATTATTTCTAATAATCAAATAATGTTGTGACAAATTTTTTGTTTATTACTTTAAATTATATTTTCTAATTAATAGAGAGAAATTAAAGATCAGAATAAAAATTTTACTTTTTTAATTTGTGAAAATTTTGAAAAAATTGCTTTTTTATCGTTTAACAATTAATCACTGTCGGAAAATAATAACTTTTCAGTTTTCATACTATAAGAAATTTGCTATTAATGATCGTAATTTTCACTGAATAAAGTTTTATAAAAATGAAAAATTGTTAGAAACAAAAAATTAAAAAATTAATTTGTCAAAAATAAAGAAAAATCGATAATTACTATTGAAATTGAAATTAAATCACTTGAATATTTATAGTTATTATGTAAATTAAATGAAAGAATGAAAATTGAATTACAATTTTTCATTAATAGTGAAACTGTTACGAAAATGAAAGCTCGATTATGGTAAAATGAATGTTATGATAAGTATGTAATAGAAACATAAAGAAACGAAAATGTTGACAAACAAAAATATTTGTATCTGTACGTATAAAAATTAAAATAAATGTATGAAATAAGTAATTTTTTTCTTGAATTTTTAGTATATTTAAATATTATACTTTTCAATTTTCGCATTCAGTCCTTTGTTATACAATCTTAGTTCTAATTAACTATTATTTATTCGATTAAGAAATAGTTAAAGAATAAACATTCACATTTTGTATTAATTTAAAATTAGGAGAATAAATTAATTTACAAACGAAATAATCTTTCTAATTAATAACTAATTAAATAATAACAAAATATTTTTATTTCTCTTTTTCTTCAATTGCTCTTAAATATTTCTAAAAAATTCTAAATAAAACTGTTCTTATTTGTTTTTTCTTTCTGGAATTATAGTTTTTCCGACCAATAAAATAAATTATTTTTCGAATTTAATTATCTAAAATTTTATTCAAAAATTTCCTCTATGTCAAGGTTTACTTATTGATCCTTCCTTTCGAAATTCGCCCAAAATTCGTTTTAGTTCTGAAGATCGAGAATTTTTTTGCTGCAAAAGATAAAAATGAAGTACTTGATTAAAATATATTTTAGAATTTTTAAATTAATTTAATTTAAAAATGTTTTCAAATTTAGTGTCGGAATTTTATGATTATGATTGTAATTTTCACGGAACAAGGTTTTATATAAATGTGACAAATTGTTAGAAAAATAAATATAAAAATTAATTAATTTGACAAACAATACTTCAAGAAAATTTGATTATTGAAATTGAAATTAAAATTAAAATTGAAATTTTTGATTAATTTCAGATTCAAAATTTAAAAAATTCACTTATTAAGTTAATATTTCATTATTATTATTTTCAAAAAATTTAATTAAAATTTTTTGCAAAAATGCAATTATTTTCGTAAATAATAACATTCTTCGAAAGAATTCAATTATTTTTTTAAATTTTAATAAATTTTTTGAAACAATTTAATTGTTTCAATAAATAATAAAATTTTTCTCAGGAATTCATTTATTTGAAAATAACAGAATGTTAATAAAATTTAATATTCTAATCTTGAATTATAATTGTTAACAGACAGTATGTATTAAAAAATTGAAAAAAATACTTTGTTTAATTCAATTTTCTTCAAAATATTTAATTAAAATTATTAAAAAAAACTGGGACAGAATTTCCCAAACGGATCACCTAAAACTAAAAAATTTTCTTCTTGAACCAAAATATTTTTTTTTCTTAATATGAGGACGTCCACATAAAAAGAGCCCATTTTGGCACTATTGGACATAGCATTTTGAGTCGCCATAGAATTTTTTTGGTGAAAAATTCAATGCGTTACAGAATTTTAAAGTTTAAAACGCCAAAACCTCATTTCGAGAAAAACGGAATTAAAGATTGTGATACCAATTGATGGTGATATCTCTGGTTCTTCTGTGAAGTTATTCTGATAAGAATTGTTTTCAGTCCAGAGCACCTTAAAGATGAAAAACCAATAGGTTTAAAATTTTTAAAACCAATCCCCCTCCCCTCCATTTGAAAAATACGAAAATTCGACAAAATGGGCCCTTTTCTAAAAAGGACAGTTTTTTATTAATAAACCATTTTTTACAAGGTTAATGATTGGGTGCAATTTTATTGTGTCATTTGAAGAAAAAGAATAGAAATTAAACTTATTTAAAATTTTTTGACAGTCTCTATTGTGAATAATTTGACGAAATATTGAAATTTTCACTTCTACGACTACAAAAACAAAGACTCTAACATCAATTATATCTCTGGTTCTTCTGGGAAGTTATTCAGATAAGAATTGTTTTCAGTCTAGGGCACCTTAAATAGATGAAAGATCAAGAGGATTAAAATTTTTCCACACCTCCATTTTTAAAATACGGATTACTTTTGCAAATGACCGACAAAATGGGCCCTTCTCTTTTTATCAAGAACCAATGAAATCAAACAGTTAAATTATCGATAAATTAATGAAAACCGCATGATTCGACTTGTCAAAACATGTAGATTGATAATAAAAAATTTTAAAAAATTAAGATTTTGCTCAAAAATTACTAAATTGCGATTATCTCGAAAACTAGAACCGATAATATGGGCCCTTTTCATGTGGACGTACACATATACTTAAGAAGAATCCTTAAAAATATTAAGCCAAAAAAAAATTTTTTGTAAAAGTTATTAACAATTGAATTTTTTAGTACTGCTAATTTAACAAATTTTTTTCTCGAGTTCCAGTTGACGAATTTAAAAATTAAAATATATGGGTTTTTTCGTCTTGAATTGGGAATATATTTATGAATATATTTTTTGTCTTTAAATTTTTTTTATAATTTTTTACATTATTTGTTTATAAAATGTTAATAAAAATAAACAATTTACAATATTTTTAGAAAAAATCATGTTTATTTTTTTATTTTTCATTGCAAATGATTAAAATCAATTTAAATTAGTCTAGCATGACCACCAGACATATAATAATGCATAATACAATTTATTGAAATTGTTGCAAACAATGTTTATTAACAAATATATAACTTCGGTTCTTTTTAATAAAAAATTCTTTTTTTTGCAGACAAATTTATGTTTATTTAAATAATCTATCTCGATTTTGGTAAAAAAAGATTTTAAAGTTACCTACACTGCAAAAACAGGTGTCTATATTTGAGACACTTTTGTCCTCATTTGTAAGACGTTTTGGGATGTCTTTTAGGAAGACGTTAAAAGTGACTATTTTGGAGACGTTTAAAGTGTCTTCATTCAGATGAAATTTACTGCTTGAATCGATACATAACCTAAAAATGCATGTATGCATTGATATTGCGCGGGAAACTTTCATCGAAGACGAGGCAAGACGAATATTACCGAAGATACTCGAATACACAAAATGTCTTTTATTCAAAGTGTCTTACTTCGAAAACGTCTTAAATTAGCAAAAATGACTTAAATATAGACACTTTTACCGTCTACATTATATGTCTTAAATTATAAGCACTGAAAGTGACTTGTTTACATTTGTAAGACGCAAGAAATGTCTCAAATTTTTAGACACTTTGCATGAAAGACAGATGAATTAGTCATTTATTCCAGACTAGACGTTTTCAAAACGTCTAATGTCTTAAAATAAGACGTTTCTAAGACGCTAGTTTTTTGCAGTGTAATAATTATCATTGTTATTGACAATTATTTTGAACAATAATCAAGTTTCTTTGACATTTGTAACCATTTTAGGCATTTTTTAAACATAAAATGTTTATATCATATGTATATTCTTTCAAAAACTTAAAAAATTTATTAGGACAAACAATTACATTTGTTATAAACAAATTATTTACTTTTTAAACAAATAAATGGCTTATTTCTGCAAAAAGAAAACTTATTTTTCTTATTTTAACGAGTTTAAAGTCATGTAAAGCTCTACTTGATTATTGATAACTAGATTATTGTTCATATGATTGTTAATAACAATGGTAATTATTAAATTCAAAATAATTTTTTACCAAAATCGACATAGAATAGGGTGTTGTGGGGTGATGTGCAACGTTTTTTTTCGTTTGACAAAAAAGATGTCAAATAATTAAATTTTGAAATATTTCAAAATTTAATGACTTAGAGGCATAAAGGTACTCTCTCACCTCTACTGCCTGCCTGCAATTAGAGTAAGGGAGAAAAAACATTTAATTTGAATTTTCTGACTCTCTTACTCTTATGTGTTACCATGACGACCTGCAGGCAGGCAGGCAGTAGAGCTGTGCGAGCGCCTTTATAATAGAATATTTCTGCATTATTAGATTTTCAGAATTTTAAATTTTTCCTACAAATTTTTCGCATTTTCAAAAACGTCTGTTTTTACATTTTCCAAAAAAGTTGGGGTGATGTGCAACACCAGTAAAATTCAGGTATGAAATGCATAAATATCGATTAAAATCTCTTTAATTATTAATTTTATGCTTTTTCAATGCAAACTACTAATCGAAATCTGCAAAAAAAAATTTACTAAGGTATAATAATAATAATAATAATAATAATAATAATAATAATAATTTACTAAAGTGGAGATTTTACCAAAGAAAAAAATTTTTTTTTGTTTAATTTTTTATTTATTCATAACTGAATATGTAATATAATTAAAGGAAAATAACTCAGAATTTTTTATTCATCATGGGAATCGCAGTTATTGCACGTAAAGTATAAAAAAGAAAAAAGTGTTTCACATCACACCAAATATGATTAGAGAAAGGTAGATTATGCATTTTGAGTCCCTCTAATTATGCGCTTAAATTGTGTACAATTATGCGGAATTATGCAACTAAAAAGATGAATTCTGCGTTAATTATGCGATAAAATGAGCATGATTATGCAGAATTATGCAATTAAAAAGAATTCTGCTTCAATTATGCGCTAAAAAATGTTCATTTTACAAAATTATGCTGCATTTAAAAAAAATTTTTGATTTGGAACAGTTACTGGTTATTTTTCGAAACCAATTTCCCGAAAGGCCCTATCCCGAATGTCTAAAATCCCAAATACCTTTTTCCCGAATCTAATTTCCCAAAGATTTATGTACCCAAAATTTTTTTTTGTTTTTTATTAAAAATAGATATATGTGCGACTCCAAGTAAGAATTTAGTTTTTTTGGAGTAAGTAAACCAATTGCAATAAAATTCAGGAATTTTAATCTACACATAAAAAGAAATGTTTCCACCACACTTAATTCAGAAAAAAAAAATGAAAAATTGTTTATATTATGTTTATACAAATTTTTATAAACAAAACAGGCATTAAATAATAATTAAATAACTCTTGAACGACCAAACGAAATTGAATGAGGCAAACACTAAACAAATCTTTGCTGTGGTTTCTTTAAGATTCCGAAAAAAATTTTAACAACGGAAACATCTTTATACTAATTAGACATTCAGACACGGCCTTTCGGGAAAATGACCGGAAACGATGTTACTCATCATATATAGTACTTACTGCTTTTTAAAATTTAAGATTTATTTAATTTTTCAATAACATTTAACAAGTTAGTTAATAGTTTAAAAATTTATTTATTTTATTATTTAATTTAAAAAAATATTTTAAAAATAAAGAAACTAAAAAAAAATTTGCCATGGTTTTTAGTTAAAAAAGCACTATTTTGAAAATTTTGAGTCTATTCTGCGATCATTATGCAAAAAGAGTACAATTATGCAGTGAGTAAAAAATTATGCAATATTATGCGCTCTAGAAACATGTTGTAAAAGGTTTAAAACATGAATTAACATAATATTATAATGTTTCTACTTGATTTTAAAAAATTATGCAATTATGCAATCGCATAATCTACCTTTCTCTAAATATGATATTTTGCGAAAAATGATTTGTACACAAAATATAAACGGATATTTAAAAACAACTCAACTTACGTACAGCAAACCTGTCTGCGAGCTGTCTCGTGAGTTATATATCAAAAACAAGTTACTGAGGACACAAACAAAAGAGCCAAAGTTATCTATATTTTGTTAATTAACATTGTTTGCAACAATTTAAATAAATTGTATTATGCATTATTATACCTATCTCTCTAAATTTGAATTAGTAGAATTCTACTAATTCTTAGTCAAATTCTACTAATTGAAAAGGGGAAAAGTCTTACACTAAGAATTAGTAGAAAACTACTAATTGAAAAAGTTATTTTTCGCTACTAATTGAATTAGTAGAATGTAGAATGTCAATGCGCATGCTCCCGCGTGCGTCTTTTTTACTCGCTTCTTTGATTTTATAAAAACATGCCATCTAAAGAATTGTAAATCTATTTAATTATATTGATTGAATTAAACTTTTATTCAGATTATAATTATAATTGAAAAAGGGAAAGAATGTTTGAGGTTAGGAGTTTATATACTATTTTTTAATTATTAAAAAAGAAAATTGAATATTATATGTTAACTATTTTATCGACAGTATATATAATACAATTAATAATTTACACCATAAAAATATAGTTAATACACATTTTTTGTATGCACGTTTTTATCATTCCAGCATGCAATGATGAAAATACCGGCGTCTAAAGATATATATATACAAACCAAAAAAGAAAATAAAGAGAATGTGGTACACGCACTTTCCCAGTTCTAAAAAGGTGATGAACGATGATTTCAATATCACTTCACGCACTTGTTGTTTGTATAAATATTTTTTGAATTTTAAAATCTTGGAAAAAGATTGCAGCTTGCTCAGGAAAAACTTTTGACACTATATACAACAGGAAGCAAATGGCCGTTTAGTGTTACCGAAAGTGAACGCTAAGAGCGCTCCTTCGCGTCACCTGACTTTTACTAATTCAAATAGTAAAATAGTAAAAATTTAAATAGTAAAAATTCTACTAATTCAAATTTAGATGAGAGTATGTCTGGTGGTCATGCTACACTAATTTAAATTCATTTCAATCATTTGCAATGAAAAAATAAAAAAATAAACATAACTTTTTCTAAAAATATTGTAAATTGTTAACTTTGAGTAACAAAAAAAATATAAACAATTTAAAATTCAAAAATGGTTCAAAAATCTCTTAGAAATTTTATCTCCTTTAATTTAAGATTAAGACCATCAAAATCCGATAGAATTTGTAGGCTCCAGACAATTTTGAACAGTAAATTGTAAAAAATGCCAATGTGCGCGGGGCGAGTTTAACGTCATGTAAAGCTCTACACAGCTGCAGTTTTTAATTAATAACTTTTTTTCTAATTGAGGCTTATTTTTTTCGAAACGGTTTTACACTCGGAGACACTTAAGGAATAGAATACAATTTTAATTTTTTTGTTAGGACGTGAAGAACATATTTGTTTATTAACATTTTATAAACAAATTATATAAAAAATTATAAAAAATACAAAAATTTAAAAACATAAAATATATTCAAATAGTGCAATTTAAGACAAAAAAAACTCATATTTTAATTTTTAAATCCATCAACTGGAACTCGAGAAAAAATTTGTTAATTTAGCTGTACTAAAAAATTCAATTGTTAATAACTTTTACAAACAATTTTTTTTTGCTTAATATTTTCAGGGATTCTTATTAACCATATTGAGAGTAAAAAAAATTATTTGGTTCAAGAAGAAAATTTTTTATTTTTAGGTGATCCGTTTGGGAAATTCTGACTGAATTTAATTTTCTATCAATAATGTTAATAAAATTTAATAGTAAAATTATTGGTGATCATTATTAACAAAATCAATTATATAAAAAAAATTAAAGAAAATTTTTGAAAGAATTCAATTATTATTAAAACCTTTAATGAGTATCTATTCTACGAAATAATTCAATTAATTTCAAAATTTTAATAAAATTCCTTGAATTAATTTTACACACAATTATTTTATACAACTTTGCATACAACCAATTTTTAAAAATTGGAATAAAATTCTGAGAAGAATTTAATTATTCTCTAAAAGTTTTAATGAAATTCTATAGGATCATTTGGGGTAAATGTAAACGGAATATCTATTTTTCACCAAAAACATTAGTTTTTTTTGTTAAAAGGTAAAACGGACGGATTTCTTTTGCATGAACTTGTTACTTTATTTCCCTAGAATTTGATGAGGTACAAAAAAATATTGATGCACCTGAATCGCCTAAAACTGACTGTTTACATTTACCCCGAGATTTTGAAATTTTCCTAAAATTCGGGGTAAATGTAAACACCACTGTAGTTAAGCGAGGTTTAAGAAACAAGTTATTTCAAGTATACTACTGTTTTAAGGGATGGAAAAACTGAAAAAAATCCTTTGCAGATGTATAGTAAATCAACCAGTTGACTGATAATGTATCATATAAAAAAAATCAACCATTACAAAATTAGTAATGAAAAAACTTTAATATTAATTTTAATAGATTTTCATTCAACTTGGTAAAAAGAATCTGAAATCGAATTTTTAAATTTCAAAATGGTGGATCCAATATGGCGGTCAAACATAAACTATGCAATACTATGCAGGTCTATACCTGCAACTGACTAACACGAAGGAGGTATGAAAGAAGACCTAATTTCCTTTTCTATGTAATTTTACATTGCCAAAGTAATGAAATTGTCAAATAGAAGCAAATTTATTCAATTATTTTCTTTTAAAATGTAGTTCAAGTTCTGTTTACATTTACCCCGAGTTTTCGAATTCTCGGGGTAAATGTAAACACTTAATTATTTATTAACTAAATTGACGAAAATCAAAAATCAAAGTCAATTTTTATTAGGGCATTAATAAGGAAGAATTACAAATTTTAGTTTGATTTTTTAATTTATTTTTATGCAAATGCGAGACAAAATACTAAAACAGTAAAACTTTGATTTTCAATCTTTTTTGCATTAAAAGATAACTTACACTATGGCATTGCCAATTGTCAAAATAAAATATTGTCAATACTCAGAACATCTTGTAGGTGAGCTGAAGTAAAAATATTGACGTCGTACTTATTTTTAAATCTGTAAATTTAGATGAAACATCTACCGTTTACATTTACCCCTTGTTTACATTTACCCCAAATGACCCTAATCAAATATTTAATTTCCATTATTAACAAACACGATTATTTTAAAAACTTGAAATAAATTCTTCGTAATATTCAATTACATTCAATTTTTTCAATTAAAATAATAAAAAAACTCCATTATTTTAAAAAAATTCAAAGAAATTCTTCTAAAAGAATTTAGGTAATTATGATTTTCAAAAATTTTAATAAAATTCTTCAAGGAATTAAATTATTTTGAACTTTTTTGATAAAATTCCTTGCAAGAATTCAATGATTTGAAAATCATAGAATTAATTTTAAAATTGAAAACATTTAAAAAGAAAAATAATTTAAAAATTTAAGTAACAGACAAAGATTGATAATATAGAAGATAGAATAGAAAAGATTTAAATTTAATTAAAAATGTATTTAAATTCAATTTAAAAATAAAAAAAATTGTAAATGTCAAAAAATTGAAAAATAGTTTTAAAAAATTGTAAAAAAAAACATTAATTTAGTTAAAATGAAATTGAATGTGAATATTATTAAAAAAAAATGTTACACTAGGTGAGTTTCGGAAACAAGTTAATTCCTCGTCCAATCTTTTTCCTTCGGCTATTCCACAATAGTGCTCCAGTTCTCTACTAGAAAGAGTTAATAATTCTGCACCAGTCATTCCTTTTAAGTGCTTAGAAATTCTGTTAGTGAAAATTAATAATTAGTATCCGGTGAAATTTATATAAAAAATCTTTTTCTTCTTGCTATTTTCAAAAGTATTTAGAAACATTTTTTTTCAGTTAATATAACACAGAACAGAAAGAAAATATACTTTTCAGAAAATCCTTTTTTCGCCAACCAATTTTGAACATCACGCGATGTAGAACATTGATCTAAAGTTTCTTTTGATTCTAAATTTGCATTTTTGGCCTTTTTCTTTTCGCGAAACATTGTTAATACAGATTTTAATTCTTGTTGCATTTCATCATGACCACTGAAACCTTAAAAAAAAATTCTGAATTTATTTTTTACTTAAACATCCATTAAAATGTAAAAATAATATTTTATAAGTTTGTTTCAATAAATAGTTATTTCTAATAACACTTTTCTTTAAAAAATATTTTTTGGAAAGTAATAAACATAAATAAAAATAAAAGAATAATTTTTTTTTAAAATACTTTTGGAAAAATAATAAATAAAAATAAAAAAATACCTTCTGGCATCGATTGAATGCTAATAGTACTTTTGGTACTTTTGTTACTTTTTATTGATCCCATTTTATTATCATCGAAAGATGATTTGGGAAAGAATTCCGGAAGAGGTGGAGGTGGTGGAGGAGGAGTTGATGCAATTTTCCCCGAGGATTCTTTAAGATTTTTAAAAGCTGGTTCGGAAATTTGTTTCTGATAAACTTTCGAACCAATTTTCAATTCTTTCTGCGCATTTTTAATAAAATTGGAAGAGTTTTGAACTTTTGATGATTCAGATCCAGAATTTGTCAATGGTTTTTTATTCAATTCCCACGAATTGACAGTTTTTATACTTCCAGACGAATGTTGACTATCAGAAAGTGATACTACATCATCACTGGGAGCCTCACTTGAAACACTTGCTTCGCCTGTAGATAATTTAAATAAATATCAACTAAATGTCAAAATAAATGATTTAGACAACAATAAATGTACAATATTGGTAAAAATAAATCTACTTACCACATTATTTCTGAAATTTTCCACATGAGACACAAAAAATGGAAATGAAAACAAAAACAAAACATTTTTTCGTTTTATAAAAAAGAAGCAAGAATAAAAGCTCAGAATTGCAATTGAGAATAAAACTGGTACAATAATGAAGAAAAATCGAAAACTGTTTTTAAAAAATGTCAATTTGTAATTAGTATAAGCTAATTCAAATAATACAGAGAGTGAGGTACATGTACATAATTCGACACATACCAAGAAAACGAAAAAAAAATTTCTAAATTTAATAATTACAAAGTCACTTAACTGTATATAATTACGTTCTTTTTTTCTTAAAATTGTTCACTTGAGTTATGTACCACTTTAGAAAAATTGCAAAACTTTAAAAATCGCTTGCAGTTTTAGTTAAAAAATTTAAAAAATTAATTACGTATTTTTGTATAATTATTTTCATATATAAATATTTACTACAAAATTTCTACAAAAGAATTTTTATGCACTTTTAAAAATCTAACTTTAATAGTTAAAATATTTTATATTTTTGTATTTAAATATTTTTATTTATTTCATTTGAAAATATTATTATTTTCAATTTTGAAATTCTGCACGATTTAATAAATAGAAAATCCTTACTTTCCATTTTTTAAAATCATTTTTTTAAGTATCAACAGGCAATCAAACTCAAGTTCAATTTTAAGTTATACTACGATAACAATTTGAAGTTAATTTGAATACGTAGTGGAAATTTGGTTAGTCCATAAATACAGAACATTTAATAACATTTCGCTGTCTTCAAAATTATTAACGTAAAATATATAAAGCAATTAATGCTATTGGTAAAATAGAAAAAAAACAAAAATGATTCAAACCACATGACGGGAATCATTTTTCTCTTCAATGTTTGATTATGTAATTTCCTGGGAATTGAAATATACAGTAGAACCTCGATAAGTCGAAAACCTCTGTAAGTCGAAGAAAATGTCCATTCCCTTCCCTAGAAGCCCAAAAACCTCTGTAACTCGAACTTTTCAACCTCTATAACTCGAAGTAATTTTTATTTCCCTTCAACAACTTTTCCATGTATTTTAACCTCTAAAAACTCGAAGTTCAGTTTTGCAACCTCTATATAACTCGAAGTTAGTACATATGGCCCTTTTAAACTTCTGTAACTCTAAGGTTTTGTTTTTCGGAACCTCTATATCTAGAAGCTAATACAATACAATTGTTATCAAACAGTGTTCGGAATCTTTAAGGCAAACAAAAATTACAGATTTCTTTTAATGTTCAATAAATATACAATATATGAAAACCTCTATAAGTCGAAACCTCTTTAAGTCGAAGTTTTCACCGTTTCCCTTCAACTTCGACTTATCGAGGTTCTACTGTATATTTAAAATAGATATTCTATATATATAAATATATATGTATATATATACTATATAAACAAATTTCAAGTAGATCTTAAAATTTCTATCAGATCTTAGTTACTTTGAATTCTACGAGGATGAAAAAAAATTCCAGTCAACAAAATTAATATAAGCACAATGTTTACATTTTTTCACCTCTTAAAAAAATATTTTTCTATACACATAATTTTATTCTTTTCTCTTTTTTTTCTCCTTTTTAATATGAGAGAGAGAGAAAAAAAAATGTAGATTGCGCTTTTTTGGAAAACAAATTTGGCTGGAAAGAAAGTAGCGCATTCATTTCAAATTTCACAAAACACAAGACAATTTTTTTCCAGTACGTTCGGAAATTCTTTTTCTAGTCTATTTTATAGACTTTTTTAAAATTCTTTTTATAAAACTAAAGAAAAATTTATGATATAATAAAAAAGAAGAATTTTTTAAAAAGAATAATGAAGAAAAGTTTGAAACATTGAGAAAATATTTTTCATTAAGATTGCAAAATTATCCAACAGAAACAAAAATTGGAACGTACTGAACCCGATATTTAACCAAAAAAAAGTACAAAGATTGCTCAGTCTAGACGATAATAGCACATTTATCCTTATTTACAAAAGACGTGGATAAGCAATGTTGCGACAATAAAAAAAATGGACATTTGACACATGTACATTTTAAAGCAACTTGAATTGGCGAAAAAGAAAGAATCCCTCGGCGCTTTGTCATCAACGCAAAATAATTTAAACACTGAAATATTTTATAGAAGTGAAAGCATCCACGAATCAAAGTATTTCATGCAATTTTTTTTTCATTTCTCAATAAACTTAATTAAAAATAGGTATTAAAAAGTAAAAACAGAAAAATTCATCCATTCTCATATCAGGGTTGCTACAAAAAATTCATTTTATTTTTCCCTGATTTTCTGACAGAATTGTGACTTTTTTCCTGACTAAGAAATAAAAAATAAAAATAATATCCAGATGCACTCAAAAATAATTAGATACACAAAAAATGTATGTTATACACATATTTTTGAATATCTTTAATTGTAAATATCTTGAATTAATTATCTTATTAATTAAAGAAAATTGTTAATCAATAGGTTTTTCATAATAATAAATATTTAATTATTATTCTTATTTTTCCATTGGAATTAAGATTTCTAAAAATTTCAAATTTTGAAATTCTATCATTTATATATGAATTACTGCATCTTCTCCAAAATTATTTTCAAAATTTCAATTCAATTATTTTCCAGAATTTTTAACTAAAATTCTTCTTTATATAAATTATTTTTTATAATTTTTGAAAAAGTTCTTGGAGAATACAATTATTTATTCAAAGAAAAAAATATTCGCCTAAAATATTTCTGAAATCCACTAGTTTACAATTCAATTTCATGAAATTTCAATAATTTGAAAATTTTTCATATATATATATTTATAATGAAACTAGTTTCAAAAAAATTTGAATAAATAAATTTAAAATTTAATTACATTTAATTAAAATTTAAAAGATTAACTTATTCAGAATATTGATTTAAAATTTTATAAAATTCAAAGTTACTAAAACTTCAACTAGAAACCTTTTGAAATTCAATCTATATTAATAATCTTTGTACTCTGGTAGTCTCTTTGCAGAATGAAGTTAGTTTTTTGATAATTTCTTTTCTTAAATGTTTCTTACATTAATAAAATTCCAAATTAATTTTTTTAAGATTAAATAATAACAAAAATTAATTAAACAAAATTGTTTTGAATCAAAAAAACATAATTTAATTTAAAAGTTTGTTTTGATGTTTTGTCTCATATAATAAATTTAATAATAGTTTAAAATTGGCATTTGTATAGGACATGAAATGTATATACAACATTTACGTTTCGAAACCGGTACCGGTCTCCTCATCAGAATTTATTTAAAAGTCATAAAATATGCCATAATTTAAATTCGGGTATGGATGTGAATAAATCCAAATGCAAAAAAGTAACCTTATTGTTGTTTTATATATTGGTCATAACTATAACCAGATGTTTTTTGGTTAATTTTTTTTGGTTAATTTAAAAAATGAATTTAATTTAAGTTATTTTTTAAATTAACCAAAAAACATCTGGTTATAGTTATGACCAATATATAAAACAACAATAAGGTTACTTTTTTGCATTTGGATTTATTCACATCCATACCCGAATTTAAATTATGGCATATTTTATGATTTTTAAATAAATTCTGATGAGGAGACCGGTACCGGTTTCGAAACGTAAATGTTGTATAAACATTTCATGTCTTATACAAATGCCAATTTTAAACTATTATTATAATTTAATTTATAAAATTAATTTAATATTCTAAGTAAAAAAAAGAATTACTTATAAATTATTGTAGAAAAATAAATTATACTCAAAATATTTGAATTCGTTTAAAAAATTAAAATTCTTAAAAATAATGGTATTCTTTGAGAAATTTCATTAAAATTATACTGAAAATGATTAAATTGTTATATGGAATTTTATTAAAATTTATTAAAAATTGTAGAATTCTTCCCTGAAATTTTATTACAATTGTATTGAAAATAATTGAATTCCAATGAAGAATTTTGTTATTTATGAAAATAATTAAATTCATGTTCATTCTTCCGACGAATCTAATTAAAATTGTATGAAAAATAATTCAATTGTTATATGTTTATTAAAATTTATTAAAAATAATTGAATTCTTTAGAAAAATTTTATTAAAATTGTATTGAAAATAATGGAATTTCTGTAAAGAATTTATAAAAATGTTTGAAATTTTTTTGAAGAAGTTTTATTAAAGTTTTTGAAAATAATATACTATAATGATTAATTAATTGGTTAATAAATAAATTTTTTAAAAGTTTTGAATCTGAAATTATTCAAAATTTGCTAGTTACTTATAAAAATGGTAAACACAACTTCTATTTGAAATCTTTTTATAAATTATAGAAGTTTAATAGTTTTCTAGTACTTTATTGATAAAATTCTCTGATTTCCTTGACCTGTGGCAACCCTGCATATTATGTTTAAAAAAATCATTATTGTTTTTGCTCTTTTTGTATTAATCTTTAAAGTTTTTCTTTAAAATTTCGCATTTTACAAATCTAGTTTTATATTTGGCAAACCGATCAACAATGAAGTGGATTCTTTCAATTTAGTGCAAAATATTTCACTGATTCTGCAAAATAAGATTTACACTATCTTGGAAGATTATGCAATTTTTTCGCAGGCGAGGAGAAGTTTAAAAATATCTGAATTCACCTTTTTTTCCTAGACGTTCTTTGCGTACCCATTCAGCTGGTGCCGGAGGTGGAATCGTATGGGGTCGATGTGTCGTTTCCGGTCCAGGACTAGTGCTGGTATCCAATTCTGAATCCTGGAGAAGAAGAAAAAATGTTCACGTTTTCTTCGGTTGATTTTCTTCCCTTTAAAGTCATCAAAGAAAAAGAAAAGCAACAAAAAAAAAATAGAAAAAAATAGAAACTTTCACCAAATTTAACGCCCCTTTAAACTCCTTAAACTGCGCCTATTTATGAAAATTGTCCATTGTTCTCTCCGCTTGGAAATATAATAATAAGGAAGTAAAGTGATTAGTTGGATGGAAATCTCACCTCGTAATTGTAGCCGTGCCCCTGCCGTTGATAGCGTCCCGTGTAGAGTGGATTATTGAAGACGTCATTGTCATCAGTGTGAGAGGGATTGTGAGGCGTGACAATTGTGTGAGGAACATGAGCTACTTGTCCCCGGGAATTTCGCGCCTTCCACCATTTCCTGCTGTCGTCAAGGATCTCAAGATATTCGCCTCTCACGACAGTGAGTTCCTTGTCGTTGTTCGCCGTACGGGGATATGTGACCTGGACGATTTTCGCGTGACGTGCCAAAAGGTCATCTAGCCATGCCTCTTGGGCCCTCTCGTGACCCGGCACACCGCGAGGATTCCTCTCGATCGAATCAACCGATATGTCGCTGTGCGCTCGGGTTTGATCCACAACCCTCTCCCTCTCCTCGCGGCCATAAAGTTCTGGCGCTGGACCATAATTTCTGTCAAAATATTCAACATTCCCGCGCTCTTCTCTGCTCTCATAGTCGAGGTAGTCACTACTGTAGTGAGACTCGTCGATATCCCTGAAAGAAAGTTTCATTATACAGTACCGTCCGAAATTGTCAGTCCACCCATTTTCAAAGGAATGACAAAAATTTTTTAACATAAAATTCATGAAAAGTAAAATTTTTTTTGGTTTATATTTTGAAAGACGATAAAATTTTGAAAAGAATAAGACCTTACAGAATGAAGTCATTTGGCCAAAATTTGTAGAAGATATTCTTATAAAAATCGTCATTTTCAATGTTTTACAAAAATTTGAATAACTTCTAAAATAATGAACGCTTTTTAATAATCTTAGGCTTATTTTAAAGACCATTTTCTACAGAATAAGAATTACTTATAGGCATTAACCTGTAATTTTTAACTTGGAATAAGCATGACGTCAAAGTTGGACAAAAAAATTCAAAAAATTTGAAATAATATTATTAAAAGAAAAATAATTTTTGAAATTCAAACATATTTTTTTATTAAATTTTCTTGAAGAATCTACACCATATCATGTTTTATATATGTTCTAGAATAGTTTTTAGTACAAAAAATTGATTTCAAATTTTTACAATTTTTTTGTCTAATTTTGACGTCATGCTTATTCCAAGTTAAAAATGACAGGTTAATGCCTATAAGTAATTCTTATTCCGTAGAAAAAGACCTTTAAAATAAGCCTAAGATTATTAAAAAGCGTTCATTATTTTAGAAGTTATTTAAATTTTTGTAAAACATTGAAAATGACGATTTTTAGGAATATCTTCTACAAATTTTGTCCAAATGACTTCTGTAAGGTCTTATTCTTTTCAAAATTTTATCGTCTTTCAAAATATAAACCAAAAAAAATTTTAGTTTTCATGAATTTTATGTTAAAAAATTTTTGTCATTCCTTTAAAAATGGGTGGACTGACAATTGCGGACGGTACTGTAATTTCTATTTTATTTCAGAAATTTTCATTTCATTTTCCAAAATTCTTTACATTTATTTATTTATCCCAAGAAGGTAAATTCATTCTACCTTTCGAAATAAAGAAAAATTTTATAAATCCAAATACCTATAAACATCAATTTTTTAATAATTTCAAATTCAAAATTTGAAAAATTCACTCATTAAGTAGGGGAGAGTTGTCAGGGTTGGACATAGTTTTAACTTTTCTTCATAACTTTCCATGTATGTTTTTCTGCACTGAAAAAAATTTCTGGCATACCAGGAATTGACTAGTTTGTCTGGTTACGAGAGGCATCCACGAGGATAACCTAGTTAAAAGACTAAGGTCAAGCAGAGTCAAAGTGACTAGAAAATTAGTTAATGTGTATAAGAAAAATTATTAGTCAAATTGACTAGGATTCTTAATCGAATTTCTATTATCCGATAACAGACAAAAAGTAAAGATTAAATAAAAAAAGTAAATAATATTGCTTAGAACACATTCATAATTCACGTTATATGTATACGTCTTAGAATTAACACAAACTTATGAAATAAATATTTAACACGGGGGGGGGGGGACGCGAATACCTAACACTAACGCATACGCACATTGAAAACCCGGAACGCTACCACTACACTACACACGCACGTGTTGTACTAAATTATTTAACAGATATTAGAATTTCCAGTCAAAATTTTGAAAATACACAATTTTACTTGCTCGTCAAGAACTATTCATTTTTATTTATTTATGACATTTATATGTCATTAGTAATTAATAGAAAATTAACAAATAGTAAATTATAACATTAAAATGCAAGCATTATTATAACGGTACTTTACTTAAGCACAGATATTAAAATACTACAAAATTTTGATTCCACTTGTGTGAAATTTCAGGCTTTTTAGGTTAGCTATAAAGTTTGAACGAATTAAATTATCAAATACATACTATATATATATATATATATATATATATATATATATATATATATTATATATTATATATATAATATATCACTGTAGAAAATCAGTAAAATATTTAAGCTGAGTCTCCAATAGGTGCCAATGTAGGTGCAAGTGCCAGTGCCAATCCCCAATACATTTTAAATGGGTTTGGCACTGGCACTTGCACATGCATATTGGCACCTATTGGAAACTCAGCCTTATAGGTAAATGATTAAAAATGATCTTCAAATTTGGAAATGAACCGTGAAATTAAAATAAAATCTCATATTATGCATTTTCATATAACTTTAGATATTTTATTCCTCATCAACGAAATCCAAAATTGAAAAAAGAAAAAAATGTTAGCAAAATTTTTTTTTCCCTCTCTTTACAATGGAAGTGAAGTTTTTAACACCTCTTTAAGTCAAAAATGAATTTCTGTTGCAAGTACGCTTTGTAATTGCAAAATTTCAGGTGGCTCAACTCTAACAATCCCTCGTGGCTCAACATTGTCTCACGCGTCGTTTTGCGTCATAACACAAACACCAAATTACTTTTCACATATTTTCACATATCATCTTAATGAACAATTTTTGTAAACTTATTTTGTCTTTGGCATATTTCTTCTACATTAAGTTCTCTTCTTTTGACACCACCAAAAAGTTTTTGTTGAGCCTATATCACTGAGTCGCACAATACTCAAGTAGACGTTCGTATACTTCACTGCGACTTATGTGAAAAGTTTGCTGACATTAGTAGCAAGAATTTACGTACAAAGACAGATGGCGCTAGTGTAATAAAACAAAATAAACAAGGTGTCTCAACCCTAACCACTGCAAATAATAATAATAATAATTTAAAAATTAACTAAAACGAAATTAATAGAACTCATATAAAGAAATTCATTTACAGGACTCGGATCAACTTTAAGAAGCAAAAATAAAATTTCAATTGAATTAAAAATACAAAAAAGTAAAAAAAAGTGGTTTTTTTATTCAGTCTTGACACAAAAATTAATTTTTTTATTTCCCTGACCTTTGATTGATTTTTAAATTCAATTATTTTTTAAAATAAATATTTAAATATTTTATATTCTCACAGGAATTAAACTTTTTTGAATTTCAAACCTTCTGAAATTTAATAACTTACAAAAATTACAACAAAATTTAATTATATTACGATGTTATTTTGTTTGGATTTGTAATTTTAGTGAGATCTTATTTTGTAAGATAAGATCTCACCAAAATTTAATTATTTTTGGAAATGTTTAAGGGAAGGGTACACCAATATTTTTATCTAGATCAAGAAAATAATTTAAATATTCCATAAAATTGTTTTTATACAAATTTTTTAAAGGAATTTAATAGCCATAAAATAAACAAGGGTCAGAAAGTATTTTGATCTCTTTTGAATTTTTATTTTTCATAAAAATTGAGATTTCCAATTCCATGCGTAATTTTTTAGAAAATATGTTTTTGTATCCAGAAAAAAATTGCGAAATGAAAAATTTTATTTTTACTACTTTGGAGCATTTTATTGGAAAAAAATAACTTTTAGGCTAAAAATGGTAAAAAATACTACCGATTGTTTTTCAATTTTTTTACTTAAAAATTCATTTGTTTATTTTTCTAACTAATTTCAAATCATAATCTTTTTGTAAAGAATAAAAAATATTAAAACATTATTATAAGTAATTATGATTTGAAATTAGTTAGAAAAATAAACAATGAATGAATTTTTAAGTAAAAAAATTGAATAAAAATATTTTCTATCTCATTTTATTTTACAACCTTTTGAATTCCTCACAAAAAATTAAAATAAAAATAATTTCATGGAATACTCGAAATATTTTCTTGATATAGGGTAAACGTACCAATTGTCGAGGATGGTTCATGTTGTCGAGTAAACAAACTTTGAATTTTATTTAAAGAAAAAAATATATTAATAGGTATTATATCCACAAACAAATGAGACATTTTAGACAATATTTTTTGGTTATTACCATGGTAACATCGATAAATGGAACACCCTCGGCAATTGGTACACTTACCCTAGTTATAAAATATCGGCGTATCTTCCACTTAACTAAAGTTCTTCTCTAAATCAATTATTTTTAACAATTTTCCGAAAGTTCTTCAAAAATTCAATTATTTACTAAATTTACAATTATTATATTTACAATTATTTATTAAAAATTCAATTTTTTATAATAATTTTTGAAAAAATCTAACCCAAAATATTAAAAATAATTAAAAAAAAATTCTTAAAAAGTTTTTTTAAAAAATTTTAAAAATTATTTATTTATTTAAGTAGTAAACGGGCTTAAATTATTTTATTTAATTATATATCATTAATAAATTTTCAAAAAATGTATTGTATTTTATTGTGATGTAATTTTTCAAAAATAATTAAATTTCTTAAAAAATTTTTTGGATAATTTAAAAAAATTAACTCATTTTTTAAAGAATTGTTGACTAAAATTTTCAAAAATAATTGTTTTCTCTAATAATTTAAAAAAATTATATTTTTAGAAATTTTTAATTGTAATTATTCTTTGTAGATATTTGAATTTTCGGAAATATGTCATTCAAAATATTGAAAAAATTTAATTTTAAAAAATTGGAATGAAAAAATAAATCACTTAAAGTTAAATAAAATTAATTAAATTCATTAAAATTTTAGAAAATTTGAATTATTTAAAAACTTTTGAATTATATTTTTCAAAAATTTAATAACCTTAAACAAATTATTCGAAAATAATTTTTAATAGATTTAGCAATGCTTATTTTTTAATATTAAGGAGGGAGTAAGGTTTTTTTCGAATTTTTTTTCATTTTTTTATATTAATGTATGATATCTTAAAAATATTGTGTGAAAATTTCAAGACAATTTGAGCAAAACTAACGAAGATAATGGGATTGTAAGTCTCCGCCTCTCCAGTCATAATCTGCGTGCAGTGAATTTTTAGTTTAGTTTCTGTCGTGATTTTGCATTTATAATTGCTAAAATGACAAAAATAACGCAAAAAGACATTCGCTTTATGAAACTGAAATCGATAATTCAGTGTAAGTACAAGAAAAAAATTTTTTTTGTAGTGTAAAAATCATTGAAACATTTAAACGCGTTTTTCTCAAATTTAGGTTTTTCAGAGACGGTGTTCACTGTAGCTCCGAATCTACTGCTCCGATCTTTTTAAAATTTTGCACATTTTTTCTTCACATAAATGACAAGACAGCAACGTCGAGTTTTTATTTTTGTCTAAATTTTATCTTATTTTAAAATAGCGATTTTGACGAGTTTTTTTTAATAAAAATCGATGTTTTGACTTTTGAGTGATTTAAAAAATCGAAAAATCAAAGAAAAAAATAAAAACTCGACGTCATTGTCTGCTAAAACTTATTAGTTAATGAAATCATTTTGATTTTTTAAGTTTAGTTGATCCAGTGATGAGGTATGAGGGACACCGCGATGGAGCTTTATTTTGAGACGTCAGCGATGATACGCTGTCAGCGGCTCATTTCTTGATAAAAATGAATGAAAATTTCACACAATATTTTTTAAATATCACTTTATAATGTAATAATTATAAAAATGAATATACATACATATACTAATTGTGTTGTCAAAAAAAATTCTCGAAAATATGCTTTTTTTAGTACTAAAGTAACCTTACTCCCCCCTTAAGAAAATCGAAGTAAGTTACTTTTTATACCAAAAAATGGCATTTTGTCGCAATAAGTATTTGGAAGTAAATTGGAAAAAGTCAATTTTTGAAAAAAAAATCAAAAAAAGTAAATATATTTTTGAAAAGTCGAAAGAAGTCCAAAAAGTCATACTGTCCGAGACAGTAAAAAAAAAAAATCATATAAAATTTTTAATTATTAAAATTGATAATCAAAAATTAAAAAATATATTTTCATTTCAAATGTTTCCGATTTGTATTATATTTATTTTCTTAATATATTTAATGTTCACTGTATGGAAAATAGATTCCTGTCTAAAATATACTATGTAGTCTTTAAATTTTACTACAAGAAAAAGACAAAATAAAAAAGAATCTTTAAAGCGCAGGATAATTTTCTAAAATATTTAAAAAACTGTAAAAAGCACATATCTTGTCCTTTTAAGGACGAGATAAATTTAGAGAATTAGTTATAGTTAGTAACAAAGTTTGAAAATAACATAGCTCTCTTATCTCTACAAAGACGAAACTATTTCTTTCGTCCTTGTAAACATTATATTTATAGATGCGAACACTGCTTATAAAGTGGAGTCGAGGAGTTTATTAAACCAGAGTCTTAAATACAATTCTCAGGAGGTATCGTGACAGGTTTCTCTCTCTCTCTCTCTCTCTCTCTCTCTCTCTCTCTCTCTCTCTCTCTCTCTCTCTCTCTCTCTCTCTCTCTCTCTCTCTCTCTCTCTCTCTCTCTCTCTCTCTCTCTCTCTCTCTCTCTCGCTAAAATGAGTCGTACTTTGTTGCAATATTTGGAAGAAAAGTCGGAAAAGTCTCAATTTTTGAATATAAATCGAAAAAAGTTTCAATTTTCTTAATTTCCCTGACAAAAAATTTGTTTCATGTTATTTCCCTGACTTTACTGACATGTGGACACCCTGAAATGTTAATTAAAATTTGTAATAATAATAATACCAAATTTAAAAGTATTAAATTTTAGAAGGAAATAAATAGAAAAGAAAAATCACCTGTGATTGTAATAGGAATCATTTTGTGCCTCGGGAAGATCATCCCTCTTCTGTTTGTCGGCATGAAGAAGTGAATTGAGATGATCATTGTCCCGATCCTCGGGAATGGGATACTCAGGTGACCATCCATCCATGAAAACGGGATGATAGGGTGGCACGTGTCCCTTCCATTGATTCCTCGGCACCAACCACGTGTCGCCCAACGAATGCCAAAGTTCCGTCTCCTTGCTGGTCACACAGTTAATCAACAAATTCACCGCCTCACGGGTCAACAGCGGCGAAACAACTTTGCTCGGCAGATTTGGATCATAATTCGTGTCATGCGATGCATCGACAATAAGTGCGAGTGGAGTGAAGAGAAAATGCACCAATTCCGGCGCATTTGGATCGTGAATGTGCGCCTTCAATTTAGCCAAGAGATTAAATGATAATTTGAATTTTTGAAAAATATCGATGAATTCAATTTCAGGTGGTGGTTTTGCCCTCATTGTCAGCATTCCATCGCCTAAACTGCGTTTTTTCGATTTTCTATTACGACGTCGACGCTCCAATTCACGTGAGGCGGCTGACGCGTGCTGCAGGCGGGCGATAAATTTCTCAATATCGTCAAAGCAATGATTCAAAATTGTCACGTCCCTCTCGTATTTCTCGGACGATGTTGATGACACCTCGTCATTGTTTTCGTCACGCGATATATCATTGTGCCCATCATCTGGAACAAAATTAATATTCATAAAAAGCAAAAGTTTACTTATTTTCCAATATAAAATATGTCATTCATATAAAGCAAGAGTTTATTTTTTTCTTTGTATTTTTTAAAAATTAACGAAAACGAAATTAATATTCATAACAAGAAAAAGTTTTTTTATTTTTTAGTTTTGAAAATAAAAAAAAAATAAATTGATTTGCAGGTCTTGCATTAACTATAAGGAATAAAGAAGACGTTTAATCCAATTAAAGATTAATTTAATTAAAGGCACGAAAAAAGCGTTTTAGTTGATTCAAAATACAAAAAAAGGCGAAAAAGGCATTTATTTTATTTACAGTTGTCACAATTTAATATTCAATTTTTTTCCTTTTTCCCAATTTCCAAAAAAAATTTTAACTTTTCCCCCTCTTCTCAAGAACAACTTCAATTATAAGTTTTTGTAAAATTTCAATTATAATCAAATGATTTTCTGATGTTTTTTTTAATTTTTCTTTAAAATACACGATTACTTTTAAAAGCAGTAATAAAATTGTTTAAAACATAAAATTTATTCCAATAATAAAAATCTAATTATTTCAGAAATTAAAACTTTTAATTCTTCTAAAATTCAGTTATTGTTTAGAATTTTCAACTGAATTTATTCAAAAGTGTAATAATTTTTTTAAATATTAAATATTATTATTAAGTATTACCAATTGGAATTTTAAAAAAATTTTAATTTTAAACATTATATTTAATTGCTTTTAAACAATTTTTACAACTCTTCTAATAATCAATTATTTTCGAGATTTTTTTAACGAATCTAATATTAAATATTACCAATGCAAATTTTCAAAAATTTTTAATTTTAAACCTTCAATGTAATTGGTTTTAAACAATTTTTTCTATAATTTTCCTAATATTCAATAATTTTCGAGATTTTTTAAACGAATTTTCTTCTCTAAGGGACCTATCGCTGCAAAAGAGAATTTTACAGGGGGAGCGTTTTAAGCGACGCCATGAGCAGAAAACCCGTGTATTTACGCAGACATGCTTATAACTTTCTCGTGTCGCGTCACATTTTCAGAAACTTCTTCGAAAGTTTAATATTATTTAAAAGAAAGAAAGGTCTCTTAAAATTCCTCCTAAAATCAATTATTTTTTATAATTTTAAGAAAGTTATTCGATAATTCAATTATTTAAAATCCAAAATTCAATTTTTTTAATAAAAATTTACAAACTGCATGGATTTTTTAAATAAATTTTTAAAGTGAAAAAGAAAATTCAAGGACAATTTTAAGGTTTTCAGTATTTTCAAAAAGAAACCAAAAATTATAATTTTTGTAGTATTTATAGAAATTTGATATTTTTCCACTACATACTTTGGATAAAATTCCCTAACTTTTCAAAATTTTCTGGTCTGTGAAAACTGTATTATTCTGGTTAAAATTCATAAAATTGTAAAAACAGTTTAACTTAAAAATTAATGTTGGGAAATATTTAAAACCAAAAGTTTTTAAATTGTTTCAGTAATAATTTCACTTTTTAGTAGATATTGAAATTAATATTATACTTCTACAAAGAGTTTTAATTCGTTTACAGTGGATATTAAACCATTTGTAACATTCTTTTTAAAGCTAAAGACTTTTTTCAAAAAAAAAAATGTTTAATTCTTCTTATTTAAAAAATAAATCTTATTTCTCAATTTTTACTAAAAATTCAACTTTTTTCATTTTTTTCACCATTTTTATTTGGAAAACTGAGATTTTTTTTCTCAATAAAATATGTAAATATGAAAGTGCCAAAAAACCAAATGAAAAAATACAACTTTTTAAATATACTTTTTTTTATTGTACAGAAAACTTTACATAATTTATTGGAAAAATCTCAGATTTCCAGACAAATTGATAAAGAAAATTGAAACAAGAGAATATCTCAAGAATGCCAAATACCTAAAAATTGGACAAGTGCGAGTTGAACTCGCACTGCAATGGCGGGTTCCGTACACAAATATTAAAACAATACTTGCAACATTTATCGGTAATTGGTAGAATTAAAATAAACAATTAAAAAAATATATTAAAATTATTTGATAAAAAAAAATAACTAAAAGAAATTAAACTATTGTATAACTAATATTGTAAACAATAATAAGTCCAGGAACTAATTTTGAAAATTTTGTTCCTCTACTTATTATTGTTTACAATATTAGATATACAATAGTTTAATTTCTTTTAGTTATTTTTTTTTATCAAATAATTTTAATATATTTTTTTAATTTTATTGTTTATTTTAATTCTACCAATTACCGATAAATGTTGCAAGTATTGTTTTAATATTTGTGTACGGAACCCGCCATTGCAGTGCGAGTTCAACTCGCACTTGTCCAATTTTTTTTTAATTTTATTTTTAAATTTTTGTAACAAATTTTTAAAAAATCTAAAAAAAAAATTAAATTTTTTTTTTTTTAGATTTTTTAATATATTTTTTGTGATGAGACTGTAAAAATATACTAATAAACCCATTTTTAGTTAATTAGATCAAATAATGTGGAAATTAGAAAAAAAAAATTTTTTCAAAAAATTGTTTAGTTTTTCCTTGACAACGCTATGGCTATTATTACATAGCAAGTTCTCTATATTTTTCCTGTAATATTCGCGTTAAAATACACCAGTATGACAAATTTTAGCCCTCCATGTTGAATAGTTTTGAAGTTAAGGGGGGGAATGGTCACTTTTTATGCATTTTTGGCCAAAAATCCTGTTATTTCCTTGACAACGCTATGGCCATCACCTCCAATCACATTCTCTATATTTTTCCTGTAATCTACGTGTGAAAATACGTATCTGTACCAAATTTGAGCTTTCTAGGTCAAATAGTTTAGCCGCTAGGGGGGGACACGATTTGGCTACGGACACAAGAGTCTCACCAATAGGGTTCCGCCGATTCACCGTAGATGTACGGAACCCTAAAAAGAAACAGTTTCTGTAAAAATTCAAAAATAATGCTTATATTTTCGAAAAAAGAGGAGTTAACAATTTTTTTTTTAATTTTTGGAATTAAAAAGTAGACAAAGAGTACTTTAAAATTTACTATATAAAAATTAAAATCTCTTTTGTCGAAATTATGCAGATGTGCATAATTATATCCTTATTAATAAAATCAGATGTCTGTCTGTACATTGCTTAAAACTTCAAAATGTTAACATGATTAGTTATTATGGACATCAGAGATTCCAAAAATGTTCTTAAAAAATTTAATGTATGTATGTATGTATGTATGTATGTATGTATGTATGTATGTATGTATGTATGTTTGTCTGTCACAAAAACTTTGTACCCCAATCACACAAAAACATGTGAATCGATTTAAGTCCAACTTGGTAGGTTATTAGGTATTGACCCAAGGAAGGTTTATAAATTTACAGATTTAAAAAATATTAATTAGAACGGGAGATATTCAATTTTTTCAAAAAATTCAAAAAATCGAAAATTTCAAAATTTTTTATTTTTCATGGATTGCTTTTGAAGTTTATATACTTGAGTATTATATGTTATTTAGTCACATTATAGCATAACTTTGCAAAAAATAAAGTCCTATAACTAATATGTAAGTATAAAAATGTTTTCAAAAAATCGAAAATTTCAAAATTTTACATTTTTTTATGGATTGCTTTTAAACTTTCTATATTTGAGTATTACATGTTATTTGGTCACATTTTAGCATAATTTTTCAAAAAATACTATTCTACAACTAAGATGTAAATATAAAAATATTTTCAAAAACTTGAAAAATGGAAAATTTCCAAATTTCACAATTTTTAATGGATAGCTTTTAAACTTTCTAAAAATGAATATTATATGTTATTTAGTCAGATTTTATCATAATTTTGCAAAAAATACTATCCTACAAGAAATATAAAAAAATTTTCAATATATCAAAAAATCGATACTAATTACTATATGAAGTATAATTCAGTAGTATTTTTGGAGTCTCTGATTAATATTTTGATGTCAAAATAGTGCAATTCAAAATTATTTATCAAATCAATCTAATATTTTCAAGAAGTTCAGAAATATTGAAAATGGAAATTTTTTATGATTAAAATGATTTCGCAGGATGTCAAGAATTGTAAGTCACCTGTGATACAATACAAGCATATTATGCCACTAGGCAAAAACTTACATGTTAAAACGTTTTTTCATTTTAACTCTAGATTTAACTTTAAGAGATGTTTTGAGCAATGTAAAGACAAAAGTTAACACGGTGTCTATTTTTGTTTAACAAAATTCCCTGCTTTGTCCAAACTTTTCACGGTTTATCTCTTTTTTGTCAAATTTAAATTTACTTGATTTTATCCATAAATAAATCTACAAATGGCTATAAAAATTTACTTATTTTATGAAAATACTGTTTCTTAAGTTCATATAAATATAGATTGTATTACTTGCTGTCGTATAGTTTTCTGTTTATACTAATACATTTAACTGGGTATCTACCAAACGGGAAAAACTGTAAAAAGCTGGGAATATGCCGAACCGGGAATTTTCCTATCAAATTAAGAAAAGGTTTCATTATATTAATTCGCTTTTAAAAAATTGCTTTTTACTTCAATTTTTATTGATGTATAATATTTATGAAAACAGACCCGAGTCAAAATTTAAGCCCTACTTTCAGCCTAAAATTTAGGTCTTATGTTAGGTTTTAGCAGTCGTAACGTAGGGTCTACTTGCGATACAATTAGTTCCAATTAGACTCTACTATAACTCCAAAAACTGTATGGAAAATTTAATTTTTTTAATACATTAATTAAAGTACTACAAATTGATAAATATTGTTCTCTGCATTTGAATTGGTTAAAATAACTAATTTGATAACAAAAAGTCAATCACTGATTCAAATAGTAATATTTTCCTACTAAAATAGCTATAATGGTAACTAATTATTATTTTTTTCCGGTCAAATTAAATTCCCTAGCTATTTCCTGATTTTCCAGATTGGTAGAAACTTAAGGGGTTACCCCC